ACCGTATAGCCACCCCTAGGTCGCGGTCAGTTCACGGCCATGAACATCCTTCTTGGATAGTGATGTCGAGCAAATCTGCACCATTTTCACTTAGTCTGTTCACGGTCTGGGGCTTGAGTTCACGGTTTACGACCATGAACTAATTGTTAGTGAGGTGTGCATTTTGCTTCTGGACTCTTTGGCGCTTCACAGTCTGGGGCTTTGGTTCATGGTCTTACGACCGTGAACTGACTAGGATCTAGTGAGTTGTGCATTTTGCTTCTGGAACTTCAGCGCTTCATGGTCTGGGCGACCTTTTTACGGTCCATAAGACCCTGAAAACTCACCATTTTCCGTGATCCTCACCTGCTTCCACCCTTTGGCTCGTTTTCGCTCATTTTCGTCCCACTTTCAATTCCGGGGTCAGTTTCACCTACTAGGATCTGAAACATACTAAAAGAAAGTGCAACCTAGTGTAAAACCACACCTCACGGAGTACAAATGCATCAAACGTCTAAAGAAAATGGAGATAAAATGTGTACAATTGGACTTGAATCACTCCTCCACACTTACACGTTTGCTTCTTCCCAAGCAAACCATTTCCAAACAAGGTGATATCTCAACCTAACAAGATAACTGGGGACATATCAAAGGGCTCAAAGCGGCGAATCTCATTGGCTGTTGGGCATCAACACATGGCTTGAGTGCCAAGAAACCGTTAGGTGTTTCAATGGCTTGAGTGCCAAGAAACCCTTTGTAGAGCATACAATTAAACTTTTTTTGGTAATTCTCTACTTTTTTACCCCGTTTTTTACCTCTTTTTCGTTTCCTTTTTTTTTTCTTTCCACTTCTTTTTCTTTTTTTCTTTTTCGAGGGGGGGTACTAGAGAGTTAAACACTTTCCAACTTAGCACTTAATGAACAATGCTCTCTATTAAGAACTTCCTCCAACACTACTTCTTCATTCATAGCAAGAAGTGCCAAATACACCTATGTAGAACCTCAATAAAGCTCAAGAGTGAGAGCTCCGAGACACAAGGATGACTCACAATGGTTTAGGCATGAAGAAAGGATGAGGGGTCGTTCTATCGATCACCATTAAGCTCAACAAGCGCAAAGCTCCTAACATTAGAACGTGGACAATCAACTTTTAGGCGTGGACTAATCTTATGCCTCCATCATACTCACTAGTAACAATGGTGAATGTTGCTTGCCATGGTAAGAGGGATCTATCACACATGAAAAAGACGATCGACACTAAACTCACATGGATACCTAGTCACCCAACTGTCTATTCCAATTTCAAAAAATTCTATGCAAGGTAATTGTGATCAAAGAGTAACCAAGTCAAGACATCCATTCATTTAGGCACACAAGAGAACTAAACACTTGCATACACCTGATGCAATTCTCAGTCATCATCATAGGACAATGATTCAGGCCTAATTGTACACTTTTTATCCCCATTTCTCTTTGACGTTTGTTGCAATTGAGCTCCAAAAAGGGGTGGTTTTACGCTAGGTTTCTTGTGTTTTAGCGTGTTTCAGGATCCAACAAGTGAAAACAGCCCCGGAGTCGAAAGTTGGAAGAAAAAGAGCAAAAAGGAGGAAAGTGCATGTGTTCAAGGTCTACCATTGGAGTTCAAGGTCTTACAGGACCGTGATCTTGAGCCAAATTCGTGAACCGCAAAGCGTCCAGGGCGAATCCGAAGGTTACAGACGCCGAGTGAGTTCACGGTCGCTAAGACCATGAAGTCTAAGCACAAACCGTGAACCGTGGATGTGAAGCGGTGCGTTTTGGTCTCAACACTGAGTTCACGGACGCATTTCAATGTTCACGGCCGTGAACTGCTCAACGCGTCATTGAACTAAGACCATGAACTTATCAACGCGTCCTTGAACTAAGACCGTGAACTGATCAACGTGTCCTTGAACTCAGCTCTAAGACCTTGAACTGAGCCTGATTTGGGTATAAAAGGAGAGAAGAGCTGAAGGAGAAGGGAGAGCTGAAGGAGAAGGAAGAGCCTGATTTGGGTATATAAGACCTGTCAACCTATCGAATAAGGAATGGTTAGACTTCACCCTCGAATTGGATTTCGGACGGCCACCCACAAACAAATCCTAAGTGCTAATACGAAATAGGAGGTTTGCCCTTAATTAACCTAGAATAGGAGGCATGGAATGCCCAAAGAAACCCATCTCTAATAGAGCCTCTTAGGTTAAGGAGGGCTCTCTCTAAACTAGTCTAATGAGGCTTTGAATGCCCAAGGAAACCCAGCTCAAATTGAGCCTCTTTGGATAAAAGAGGATTCCTCTCTAAACTAGCCTAGGAGGCATGTAATGACCAAGAACACCCATATCCAATTGAGCCTCTTAACCTAAGGAGGTCTCCTCTCTAAGCTAGGTCAACATAGCACACACAATCATCATGAAAAATACATCCACATTCATATTAAGCACAACCACACACAAATCATTCAATTCATACAAGCATTCACGTAATTGTAGTTAGAGTTTACGAAGGGACTATTCCATGATAGGAGAAGGGAAAACACAAGAGAGGGAAAGGGAAACCATTAAGAAGATGCAAGCCTTGCTCCTGGTGTTGAAGAGATCCTCTTTTGGGGAAGGAATTCCCAATTCCTTGTTTGGAGATGAAACCCTAGCTTCTCCTCTTCTTTGGTCCATCACTTTATCACTCTAAAATCTAAAGAAGAAGAAGTTTCTCACACTAGGTCTCTCCCCCTCTTCTTCCTTTCAGCTGGCTCTTTAAACTGAGATCAAGCCCAGATCACAATCGTGAACATCGAAACGCATCTGTGAACAAAGAGCCTGAACCAAAACGCATCACTTCACATCCTGGGGTTCATGGTTTGGGCTTCTGTTCACAGTCTTAGCGACCGCGAACAGCCTTGGCGTCAGTAACCTCAAAACCCACTCTGGACGCTCCTTATTTCACGAATTATGGCTCCAGTTCACGGTCTTGTAAGACCATCAACTCCAATGGCGGACCATGAATTGTGGCTGTCTCCTCCTCTTTGCCCGGTCTTTGCTCCTTTTCTTCCAACTTTCAACTCCAGGGTTGGTTTCACCTGTAAGGATCTGAAACACACTGAAACACAAGAAACTTCGCGTAAAACCACCCTTTTTGGAGTTCAATTGCAACAAACATCATAGTGAAACGGGGTAAAAAGTGTAAAATTAGGTCCGAATCACCCCCCCCCCCCACACTTAGACGTTTGCTTGTCCCCAAGCAAACCATTTCACACATGGTAGGTAATCTCCCAACCTAACAAAAATGCTTCGGGGACAAATCAAAGGGCACAATGTTGTGAATCTCAATGGCTATTGGAAATTAACACATGGACCGTTGCAAGCAATACCGACATCCACCGCAAACGACATTCGGGGTCACCAAAAATGGGCAAACGAAAAGTTCTCACCTTGTTCATGAATCAATGCAAGTTCTCAATATCGCTTATCAACCACAACTAATCATGAATGACATTCAAGTCTAAGGAACAAACAAATGGGCAACAAAGTTCATCACCGGGGTATGATATGACATGCAAAGAAAGAATGAATCACTCACTCTCTTGACCAGTGGGGTCCGGACCTTTTGTTGAAAATAATGTGCACAATAATCAACACTCCGCCCTATAGTCTCTTCACCATGGCGGAAACCTCTAAATGTTAGAGTTCACGGGTCGGTTGTCATCACTAGCTTGTCCGGAGGTCTTAGACACGGGTTCAAATGACTGGCAATTGTCTTGGACATGGGGAAAAGGCTTGTTGGGTGGTGGCAAATACATCATGAGGTCCTATATCTTCAGTCTTCTATGTTTTTTACTACGATTCTTCCCTACAAACAATTTTCACAAGCATCGACCAAAAACCTTGCTTCTCCCTTCCAAACTATGACCCATCATGAACTACCTTTAAGCGGCTCTTCCTCGGTTTACTCTTGCTATCACATTTCGACTTAGTAGTGAAGGAGTTCTAAAATAACGTGGGGGGTTTCTATGGCTTGTGTGCCAAGAAACCTCACTTAGAGCATACTCTTTAAATCTTTTGTGGCACTCTCTACTTTATTTACCCTGTTTTATTACCTCTTTTTCGATTCCTTTTCTTTATTTTTCTCTTTTCTTTTTTAGGGGGGTACTAGAGAGTTAAACACTTGCCACTTTACCTTTAAAAACCAATGCTCTCTTTTAAGAACTCACTACAACACTACTGTTTCTCTTTTATTCCTAGCAAGAACCGTACACAATCCTCCTATGTAGTGTAGGTGAGTTGAGCACGAGACTTGGTGTGAATTTTCTCTTGAGAAGATTGGAAACCCTAAATTGAGAGATCGAGTGAGGTTGTTAAATCGATTACCAGATAGGAATAGTTTAAAGCTTTGGTTTCGGAATTAATTAATAAAACAAATAAAAACTAAACATGATTGGGCTTAAAGCCCAAGGTCTTCGACAGGATATCAAATAGGATTCAGACAGAGCCTTTTTCTTCAACGACATGTCACTACGAGATTATTTGAACCCTTCTTCCACCTCTGTTCCAATCCCCTGCTTCAACTCACCATGCAAAAACAGAGTTCCAACCAGAAACAGAGACTATCTAAAGTCTGGATTAGTAAAACTGAAAAGTAAATAGACGCAAGGAATTTTTACGTGGTTTCCAATACTGATGAATCAATATCGACTAGTCCACGGCCAAATGATTTCTGCTTGAACCCTTTGGCATTTCACTATGGTGTTTAGTATCCGATTTACACAATACAACAAACAATCTCTAGGTGACTCCCTGTCACTTATGAGAATCCCCTTCAAAGTTCTACTCCCTACAGAACTTTGATCTTGATATCACACAAACTAACCCTCGAGCTATCTCCCTGGCAACTCTCTCTTTTTCTTTTCAATTACAAGTGCACTCAGTAGCTTGATTGAAAGACTCAGAAAAAGATAGTTGTTCACCCCAAAATTTTGTCCTTTATACATTCTTCTTTTCGACCGCTGATGCTCTAATTTGAGTGATCAAATCTCTTGATATAGATGACCAGGTCATCATATAGACGACCAACATCAAGAGGAGTAGGATAGTGACGGCCTATATCTCCTGTGAGAGTTTTCAGAGCAGTATCAAAGGAGAATCCACGTGCTACAAATTTACCATCCGTCCCAGCCTGAAACCCTAAATGAGGGATATCAAGGAGAGTGGCAAGAAGCTGAGGAGTGACTGTGATCTCATAGTCGAACACGACTGTCGTGAAAAAGGATGGATCACAACCAGGACCGCGTTTGATGTTGACATAGAACTTGCAGACTGCTTCCGGACAGTAGCCAAACTGCATGTTCTCAACCAAAGAACTCCAAACGAGACCATCGAGAAGTGAGGGAATGTTCATGTCATATTTATTAAAACTAGCATGATGGATCAAAAAAGAGGGATAGATGGGCCTATCTCTAAACCTTTGAAGGTATCGAGAGTAGGCAATAGGATCGCGATACCCTTGATTTTTGAACACTGCTGCGAGGTGCAGTTGAGCATTGTTGAAGGCCATTTTGATGTAAGAGTGGAAATCGGCAGGATGTCTATGGAAGATGGATGAGATGCAGAACCCTAAAAAAGTTCTAATATATAGAGGGAGGGGCTGAATCTAGAATGGAAAGTGAGGAGACACTTTAAGGCAAGTTTTGATCTGCCTTGAGGATCAAAATCGAAATCCTGAGAGTAAGGTAAGGCTATATTCGCAGAATTATGGCTCATAAGGATTCTATATCATTGAATTCAATTAAGCCAAGTTCACGACGAATTGGAAGGAGTTTGTTTGCCCTGAGGGGTTTTGTGAAGATGTCAGCCCACTGCATTTCAGTGTTGACAAACTCCAGACTGATTTTTCTTTCTTGGACCAAATCATGAATGAAGTGATATCTCACTTTAACGTGCTTGGTTTGGGAGTGTTGAATTGGATTTTTTTGTCATGTTAATTGCAATAGTATTATCACATCGGATAGGGAGAGAACCTAAATCTAGACCATAGTCTTGAAGCTGTTATTTTAGCCACATAAGTTGTGTACAACTTAGTCCAGCAGCTACATATTTTGCCTCCGCAGTGACAAGGCTATTGAGTTTTGATTTTTGCTAGACCATGAGATGAGAGAAGTTCCCAAGAAGTGACAAGTACCGAATGTGTTTTTTTTTGTCAACTATGCATCCAACATAATCAGAATCACTGTCACTGATTAGATCTAACTTAGAATCACCGGAATACCATAATCCTAAGTGAGTAGTTCCAATAAGATACCGAAAGATCCTTTTAATAGCAGTTAGATGACTTATCTTAGGACAACCTTGGAATCTCGCACAGACACAGACACTATACATTATATCAGCTCGACTAGCCGTTAGATGCAGAAGTAACCCAATCATTAGGGGTGGAAATTAGGGTGGGTGTGGTTACCCGATCCACATTTTGCAGGTAACCACACCCACAAATATAGAATTATGCTACCCACAACCCGCCCCGCGGTGGGTAGTTGTTAACCACTATCCGCTGCGGGTTGGTGCGGGTTGGTTGTGGATACCCACATAAATTTCATCATTAAATGAAATTATGGTAATTAAATAGTGAAGTTGTGTTTCTTCTCACACAAAAACAAAAATATACATAAAAGAAAGTTGGTGTAAATTCAGAAGAAATGGATTTGGAAAGAGATTTGAAGATAATGGAGAGGCAGAGTGACTTGCTACCAGACTAACATCGTTGCATGTCACAGCTCCTCCGATGGCAACAACAACAAAACACAAAAGTGGCTCGATAAGTGGAGGCACCCGCTTTTAATTGGCCGATTATTCTCGACTCTCGATTATAGTCTTGTATTGTTGGTAGCTAGTTGCATGTTGTATTGTTCATGAGCTCGTGGAGAAATGGAGACGAGTTTAGGTATCAAACTAACCTTTATCTATTATTCCACTCTTCTAACAAATCGATTAATTTGTCTGACTATAACTATGGACTTGGTTTTGTTATAAAATAAACATATACCACACGGACAATGCTTTTTTGATAAAAGTATCTCACACGAACATTGCGTATTGACTTTGTTTTGTTTTATAGAATAAGTACGTATTTGATTTTAGTAGCTACCTTAATTCTTAGCCTTCCAAGTTTTACAAACTAATATAACAAATATGGTTAAAGTGGGTTTTGGGGGTAAACCGTTGTGGGTAGTGGTTAACCACTAACCACAAAAATCAATATTTTGCTATCCACACCAAACCCACTATCCAAAAATTGTGGGTATGGGTATCCACAAAGTGTGCGGTTTAGTGCGGTTTGTGGGTTACCCTCAACCCGCAAACCTAACTTCCACCCCTACCAATCATACCTCGATACTTCCTGCCATCAATAGGAGTTCCAGATTCATCTTTTGAAAATTTTACTGTTGATCCCATGGCCATATGGGTTAGAGCAGTTTTAAGGTTACATTTTTCAAGCATGTTCAAAAGATATTTTGTTCGACTTATAAAGGTTCCCTTCTTGGTTTGTTTAACCTGTAACCCTAGAAAATAAGTGAGTTCTCCCATGAGACTCATTTCAAAAGCACCTTTCATGTCTTGTTCAAACTCATTACACAAAGCACTACTTGTAGATCCGAAAATTATATCATCAGCATACACTTGTACCAACAGAGTGTGTGAGTTTTCATTTTTGATGAACAAAGTTTAATCAACAACACCTCTATGAAAGCCTCTGTCTAATAGAAAATGACTTAACTTGTCATACCAAACTCTAGGAGCTTGCTTAAGTCCATACAGTGCCTTATTTAGTTTATGTACACGGTCAGGAGTCTTCAAAACCAAGAGGTTGAGACACATAAACTTCCTCTTTTATATCTCCATTTAGAAAAGCACTTTTTAGATCCATTTGATACAATTTGAAACCTTTAGACGCAGCAAAGGCACATAATAGTCGAATAGCTTCTAGCCTTGCTACAGGCGCAAATTTCTCATCAAAGTCTATCCCTTCTTCTTGACTATAGCCCTGAGCAACTAGCCTAGACTACTTATTTCTAGCGACCTTACCTACTTCATTAGATTTGTTTCGATAAATCCACTTTGTTACAATTATTACTCTGTTCTCGACTTTAGGAACTAGTTCCCACACATTATTTCTTTTAAATTGATTCATTTCCTCATGCATTGATTCATTCCAGAATTCATCATCTAAGGCTTCTTGCACGGTTTTAGATTCAATTAATGACACAAAGGCAGTCTGTAGTGATGATAGTTTAGACCGAGTGGTCATACCTTGATTGATATCTCCGATTATTTGAGATGAAGGATGTCTCTTCTGTATATGTGGAGGTGCCTGCATAGGCTGACCCTCAGATTTCTCTTCTTCTTCACTTGGAGCAGCTTTAGCTTGTGCACTTATATCTCTTATTGTCTTTTTCCCCTTCAAGACTATGTTGTGTACTTCCAAGTCTGAGATCATCATTTTCTTCAATTAATTCTGCACACTAACTCGAAGATTCATCAAATACCACATTGATGGACTCCTCTACTTTGAGAGTCCTTTTGTTATATATCCTATAAGCCCTGCCGTTTTGAGAATACCCTAGAAATATGGATTCATCTGACCTAGAATCAAACTTTCCTAGATTGTCTTTGGCGTGTAGCACAAATCATCTATAATCAAACGAGTGAAAGTATTCTAGATTAGGTTTCCTTCCTTTCCACAACTCATAGGGTGTTTTGTTTAGTTTAGATCTTATCAAGGCACGATTTATGGTATAGCAAGCTATTTTTACAGCTTCTGCCCAAAAGTGTTTGGCTAGGCCATAATCATTCAATATAGTTCTGGCAATGTCTATTAATGTCCTATGCTTACGTTCTACCACTCCATTTTGTTGAGGAGTTCTAGGAGTAGAAAAGTTATGAGAAATTCCATGCTTTTCACAGAACTGTTCGAATTTTACTGAAATGAATTCTCCACCATGATCACTCCTAATGCTCATAACCTGTGTTTCCTTTTCATTTTGGATTCGCCTAATCAGGGTTTTAAAGTTCTTATAAGCTTGACTTTTATTGGCCAGAAATAACACCCATGTGAACCTGGCAAAATCATCTACTATTACAAATGCATATGATTTGCCTCCTAAACTCATGGCATTGCTTGGTCCAAATAGATCTAGGTGCAATAGTTCCAAAGGTCTTGAAGTGGAAATGACTTGTTTACTTTTGAAAGACGACCTGACTTTTTTTCCTCTTGTGCATGCTTCACAGAAAAATTCTTTCTTGCAATTAACCTTTGGAATTCCTGTTACTAGATTTAAGCTGACCAGTTTTGATAAGGAACCTACGCCGACATGACCTTATCTCCTATGCCACTCTAGTTGGTCATTTTTGTCAACCGACACTAGACACATTTCATTAAAGGAAGTTTTGTCACTCAAGTTTATACATAAAAATATTCCTTTTCTTTTTACAAAGAACATAATTGACCTACTTTCAATGTTTTCAACATAGCACCCATTTGGTTCAAAAACTACCCTATTTGACTCTCCACACATTTGACTTATTGAAAACAGATTATGCTTTAATTCATTTACTAGCATCAAATTTTTTATTTTAGGTGCAGTTCCTACTTCCCCATTACCCAAAATATCAGTGTTATAGTTATCACCAAAATAAACTTTACCTTTATTTCCTTTAACCAATTTTGTGAACAATTTTTCATTACCAGTCATGTGGTGTGAGCATCCACTATCCAGAATCCACTCGCTATCTTCCATGCTCACTTGGAAGTAGACCTAGTTCAACAACAATGTTTATTTTCCTTTAGGTAACCACATTAATCTAAAAGCTTTAACCTTTGAGTTAGGAGCTGTGCACCCATAACTCAAGTGTCCAAGTTTGTGACTCGTAAAGCACACTGTATATTTCAATCTATCTTCCTTAGCTATTATTTTCTTATAGTTAGCAATGTAATGTCATATTTGATGACAGTAAAAACTCTCTACATTTTCCAGATTATGATTACCTATGTGACTTGTTCTTCAATCCGTTCTCCTACATACAGGGCCACCTTTTCTCTTGTATTCAGCTAACTTCCCTTCTAGCTCGTCATTCCTATGTAAGGTTTCATTCAGTTGTAAATCCACACTAAGCTTTTCCCTTTTAGTTTATTATACTGTTCAGTTAATTTTTCAAATTCTGACTTGAGTTTTAAATGTTTGACTTGTACATTCTTGAATTCAATATGAATATCTCTAATGGTTTCACTAATTTGATCAGTTTCACTTTCAGACTTAGAGTAGTAGTTTAGTGATTCTACATATGATGAGTTGCATTAATTGTCACTCTCTCCCATTGCCATGAGTGCTTCTTGTCTTCTTTCAGACTCTGCTTCATCGTCATCATCTTCACTAGGTAGAACCATAGTCCTTCTCTTGTCTCAGTTGTGGACATTCAACTTTTATGTGTCCACTTCTTTCACACTTGAAGCACACTGCTTGTTGTCGAGATAGCTTGGATAGATCTTTGTCACATTCACCT